AGTGAAAGGCAAGTATCCGTTGCGCTGCGCTTCTGGAGAGTTTTCCTGCAGTTGCTAGGGGTGAAGGAATTCCTCAAACTAATTTATCCATTGCCAAAGAATGTCCTCATCATGGGTAAGAGGATGTCCTGAATTGTCCTTCAGGATTCAAACTGCCCTTCTTTCCATCTCGGAGGCGGCGAATGGTCTGCTAAAATACCTTGTTTGCCGCCTGGGAATTCGATTCCGGCATTTGAGCGACCATTTTCCAAGAATCCGCTTTCGCGTATGGCATAACCGTCTTACGCGCTTCTTGTTACATGTAAGTTGAAGGCTGTTTGTTTACAAGCCATTTCTTGAATGCAGCCTTCTCATTGACTGCCAGTTGTACCTCTCATGTTCCTCGAGGAAGTTCGTTTTTCACCTCCAGGCAGCAGCACACCCGTTTTAAATCACAACATTCAGCGGAAGCCCAGAGTAAGCAGCTTTTAAAGAGCTTTCACTTCATCTTTTCACATAATCTTTCATCGCTTGGATCTGTCCAGTCTGTCATGCGATGTTGTTGCAAGTTTTGTCCTCGTATATGCAGAATGTAATGATTCCAGTTATATTCTCTGGTTGCTTCTGCCTTCAAGTTTTCGAATGGTACTCCATCGTTTACAGCGGAGGTTTCCAACAATAAAATGTTGATTGACTGAAAGCTCTGCACCTCTCTTTATGCAAACACCTATTACAGAAGGTCGTAAGTCAGACATTTGTCACACTATTGTTTGTGGTGGTGGGCGACTGCCGATTACGCTGCCCAATACGTCGTTTCCAAAACGTGTGCGATGAGCGGTTTACATTTACTGGATGGTTAAACTGTTGTAATAATGAATTCTGACCTCAGAAACTCAACATCTGCTAGGAAAAGTTTCGTGTCGCCTGCTGGAATTTGCGAACGCTGAATGGTGATGGAATTGTATGGCGCCGTGATACAAGCTGGATATGCTGGGCATTTTAGAAATCCACCTGTTAGGCCAAGGACATCAGCGGCTTCAAAATGTATGGCAGTTTTGCTAGTCTGGGAACCAGAACTCGCCGAGAGAGTGGCGTTGCAATGCTACTGTTCTCCCGAAAGACGAATGCTTTGATCTCCGTCGAGTACACTAGCGATCGTGTCATCGTTTGCAGATTCGGAACGACGCACGTTAAGATGAACCTCGACGCAGTGTATGCCCATAAAAACGTTGCTGAGGACACAGAAAAACCTGTTCTACTTCTCCCCCGTGTAGTTCTTTTATATTTCCCGCTACATCAGCTATCGATCGTCGCCGGGGACGTAAACGCCCAGGTCTACGCCGATAATGAATTTTGGCTTGTGTGCTAGGTCTTGGCAACTGTCATTGTTGCTAGACCTTAGCGCCACGAACGACCTCGTCA